ATTGCAATACAATCATGTACCGTTACATATTTTAAAATAAACATGTATTTGTTATTATATGCTTGTGCCTTTACATTATATAGAAAACTCAAGTAATTTTTGGAAGATAATTCTATAAATTAAAACCTTTCACTTGTTATCATAGTTACTGACAAATTTCTTACTAAATCCATTGGCCCTATTGGGCATACAGGGGTGAGAGTTGCAATAGTTAAGCTGGTATCAGGAGCTTCAAGTGTCACTCTAACTCCAGGTTATTTTCTCTGTAAAAGGACATCAGTTTATTGGTTTCTTGACCATCCTGCTTCCCCATACTGTTATTAATATGGCTGGTGTCAGCAATCTTTGGGACTTAAAATTGTTTTTTAATTAAATTCACCCTTATAGTGAGCCGAGGAGAGAGACCCACTTCCTGAGTTGTTTGTTTCTTATTGAGTTTCAGTAATAAAAAGAGCAATTTATACCCACACAAATGTTTAAGTGGTGTAAGTTCTGTGTTAATATCCCATATGTCTATGTTACCATGTGCTCTCATGTTTCCTTTACAGCAATGTCAACATCATTTAAGAGCATCTGAACTGTAGTAATAAGTACAATGCTGTTAAGTAAGAGAGCAGGGTGGAAGATGCTCTTTCAGAGATTAAAGGATAAATGGACACTTAGTGAACGTAAAGCGCAACATTGGGCAAACAAATGCCATTTCCCACCCCACGCTCTTTTTTAAAGCTTCAAAATCCCATACTACTTACCCGAATCCACTGTCACGTGACGTCCAGGTGCATTTTTTGGTGGCAATCTGAAGCTGCTTTCAATTTTTTCACAAGACTTTACACTATACCTTACCCCATGCAAAAAAGTGACAGATACATTTTTGGTTCACATTTATAGAATGCACTTTTATCAATGTGAATGATTAGCTACAAAAGGAATGGGAGAAATAATAGACCTTTCCTTTTAGAGTGTTAATAAACCCATGATCCTATATTCACCATATCTGCTCTCCCACAGTACACACAACATGGAAATGCAATTATATTAGTAAATATAAACTGCTAAATACCTTTTCTCATTAGCAGTTAGAGCAGTCTTGTGACTTCTATCAGTGTCTGGCTGAGTACTGGTTAAAGGTTGTAGGAGGAGTTTTCAACCTTTCTGACTGTCTTATATGAGGCTGCATAACCCCTGGCCCTCTGTCTAGACTGTGCTTATTGGCCCTGTGCTGATCACATGCACCCTCCCAAAGAAAAAAAAAACTCTCTAGCAATAGGCACCAAACTGAGCATGTTCAGCTTGCTTCCAAGGCTCTGTTCTATCAGCAGATGGCTAACATGACTGCCAGTTATTTGCAGTCAGTCTTTTTATAAAAAAAAACAAACATGCCCCATGATTACATTATTATTTATATTTTATGAAATGTTTTATATATATATATATATATATATATATATATATATATATATATATATATACATACATAAAGTTTAATACCTGTTGTAAATTAAGCATGCTTTCAGAAATAGGAGTGTTAATATTTTGTTTATGTTTTATCAATTAACAGAATGCAGAGTAAATGAACAGAAGAGACATGCAAATCAAATCAATATTTGGTGTGACTACCCTTTGGCTTCAAACCAGCATCAATTCCTCTAAGTATACACAGTGCTTAGTACATATTGTTTTGAAGGAACTTGGCAGGTAGGTTGTTCCAAACATCTTGGAGAACTAACCACAGATCTTCTGTGGATGTAGGCTGCCTGAGATCCTTCTGTCTCTTTATGTAATCCCAGACAGACTCAATAATGCTGTGAAATACAGGCATATACTCTACTTATCCATCATGTCATACTATCAGGGAGATGTGTGATTGGCCCCAGATTTATTCTTCAGCAGGACAACAACCCCAAACATACAGCCAATGACATTAAGAACTATCTTCAACGTAAAGAACAAAGAGTCCTGAGAGAGATGGTTTGGCCTCCAGAGAGCCCTGATCTCAACATCATGAAGATTGTCTGGGATTACGTAGAGACAGAAGGATTTGAGGCAACGTATATCCACAGAAGGTCTGAGGTTAGTTCTCCAAGATGTTTGGAACAACCTAACTGCCAAGTTCCTTCAAAAAACTGAATTGAAGAATTGATGCTTTTTTGAAGCCAAAGGGTGGCTGGACCTGATTTAGATTTTTCTTCAGTTTGCACGTTGCTCATTGCACATTGCATTTTGTAAATGGATAAAAATAAACAATTAAAATATATGTTATTGAAAGCACTCTTACTTTACAGCATTCCGTCACACCTGTCTATAACCTTTGCACCATAGTATATATATATATATATATATATATATATATATATATATATATAGTGACAGTGTGGTGACCTGTCTCAGTGTAGAAAGGATATTTCACCTGGGATTCTCAACAAGGCAGGTTGAGGGGCTCCAGGGTACTAGTTTAATACAGAGGAAACTGGCTTTTTTTCACTTTCCTCATTTGTTTGTAAAGTCCATTTTGGGACCTGGAGCCTGGAGATTTCAAAGTGATTTTGGAGGGATGAAATCTCCAATCCTTGGACCAGGTTTTGGGAATGGCCAGGAGATGGATTGGTCAGGTTTGTGTGGGTTTTTTCTAGAGTCAGTACCAGGGTTCTGGCTGGGCTCCACCCCGGCAGACAGGAGGTTGTTGCCCAGGAGTCAAGAGGGCTCCACCTAGGAAAGGTGGGAGCCAGTGCAGCAAGGGGCTGCTAGATGTATACCTGAGAGAGCCAGGAGGCTGAATCTTTGTTTTGTTTGTATTGATGGTGGATACCCCTGCGTGGGACACCTGTATTGTGTGGAACTTTCTTTTAAATAAAATTGGCCAAAAACGGCCCTTAAAAAGAAGAAAAGAGAGTGGCTGTGTGCTTCAAATGCTCTATCCGTGATGCTAGTTCCCACAATATATATGTGTGTGTGTGTGTGTGTGTGTGTGTGTCTGTGTGTCTGTGTGTCTGTCTGTCTGTCTGTAGTATATATAATGTACTTATATTGTTGAAAATAATAATACCAACAATGTATAATGAAATGCCACAAATGGAAATGAAAAATGTGATGAAGGAAAAACAAATTTAGCATAAATGTGTAAATGAGTTACAGAATGATGAGAGATGGGAAGGAACACTTGATTTTATCAAAATCTCATAATTTAGATATAAACCAGGCAGGATAAGAGCTGGTTCAGACTTGTGGCCTGTGTTCTCATTAGCAATATGAGATAACTTGAAACCTTATCCATTAACTGGCCCTCTGATTTATTGGTTTCACAAGCAGCAAACACAGCAATGGCATATGACTATGTCTGCCATAGAGATGCAGCAGAAGACGGGTTAATCAGAGCTCAGGTAACTAATTGCTTTGTGCAAAACCATCCGTCTGTCTGATTAACATTAAGTGGACATGACAGCACTAATGGGCCAGAGGGAACAGGGGCAATAGGTTCAATTTGACTCCTTAGATTACAGAGTGACATCACGCAGAGGAGTGACAAGCTGCCAGTTGCTGACAACAAGAAAACCTCACCAGGAAAGTTACTGGACATCAAGTAAAAGAGACAGAAGAGATGACCAGAAAGCAAGATAAGTATTGCTAGAATTTGGTAAATAGGGGCTACGAGATATAATTATTTGTGAGTGATTTGTCAGAAATGTCTTGTTTGTCGATCATAGTAACTAGGCATTTCTAACAAAAATAATTATTTAATGATTTAATAATTTATGTCATTTACCGACAATATTAAAGATAACTCATTGGCTTGGCTAATGGCAAGTGGGTAGCGAGAGAAAAGCCCTGCAAAAGAACACTTGAAAGTGACTGATGCTAGACTCATTCAGAGCAGTGGACAGGAGGAGAAATCAGAAAGGATCAGTTGTATACAGGCAACATATCATACATTATACATTATAAGAGGAGAAGGAAAGAATAAAAGATTGAAATAGAAGAAACCAAGAAACAAACCTCCAAGTCTAGAAGTGGGATCCAATCATTGTAGCATCAAAAGGACAAGATAGGATACTTCAAAGGTACCAAATGAATAAAAGGTTTTGACGCAGCACCGTTTGGACGATTCCTGCCTGTGGAGCAAAACAGAAGATTCTGAAGTCTAAAAAAGGTCTATAAGCGACCTTTAGCGGTTACAATCATCACTGAAGGCCAACAGCCGAAATGGTGCCAAGAAAATTCTGGATCCAGCCTAACGTGATTGTACCAGCCCTCTTCATGATTAGTGCTGGTAAGTTAATATACACCATCCTGTGAAGTACTATATTGTGTTTTCTTGGTATGTTCTGCTCTGTTTGTCAGAAGTGTTTATTTGACTCGATAGATAGATAGATAGATAGATAGATAGATAGATAGATAGATAGATAGATAGATAGATAGATGAGAGAAAAAATAGATTAATATATAGACAAAACAGAGTTATAAAGATAATATGAGATAGATATATAGATAAAACAATGTAATATTTGCAATATATATCAAATAGTTATTGAATGAAACCAAATAATGTAGCTGTAGGGTGATTGTGATGAGTTCACTGAAAACCTGTAAAGAAGAATGATTACTCATCCTCAGACTGAATTAACAGAGTGTTTGAAATAAGAATCGGTGTGCAGAATTATGAGACATACAATATTTTTTACTCCTCATAAACAATGTTCTCTATGCTTTCAGATGTGTTATTGGTTCATGTGGGTAATAAAGAATAGTTTGATACTTGATACAGCTATAAACCAATACCAAAATGGAACTGGCAGGCAATTTCCTTGTAATGCCCACAAGCCATACTTTAGTAAAGACTGTGATATTATGAGCCAGAGGATTAAAAGTTATGTTTATTTGCTTTACATTTGAAGGAATTGTGAATAATGAGATTACATAGGGTGCATGTTAGTTAATTGTTGTATATTATTGTATTAAAGTATATGGAATGGAAAATCCCAAGCCCGGTCCTGATGCGTCTATCAGATGAGCTCATGGAAGGCTACAAGAAGGGTGTGAGGCCAGTGCATAACTGGAGGCAGACAACCACTGTCTTCATAGATGTCATAGTGTATGCCATCCTAGGAGTGGTAAGTACATTAGCAGTGCATGCCATGGTATATGTCATGTCATAAGTACATTAGGAGTGTATGCCATGGCATATGCCATCCTAGTAAGTACATTAGCAGTGCATGCCATGGCATATGTCATTCTAGGAGCAGTAAGTACATTAGCAGTGCATGCCATGGTATATGTCATCCTAGGAGCAGTAAGTACATTAGGAGTGTATGCCATGGTGTATGTCATCCGATGAGTCGTAAATACATTATGTAGATTATGCAACTTGGATATGTTATTTAAATCATTTATTTAAGAAGCTATGTGTAAAAGTGGATTTTTTTTCAAAACCCTCTGATGTTATGTCTAGTAAAAAAAAATCCAAAAATGTTATAATTATTATTTTTTCTTTAGTTAAGAAGTGCCAACATACTACCTAGTAAGTCAGTGCTGTACATTAGAAAAAATAAAAGGTTTAATATTTACAGACTTCAGATATCACACAGCAGGAAAATATGAACAGCAATCCACATTTCTAGCCAATAGTTTCTTTAGAGATAATTTAGTGCCAGATGACACTAAATTATCCCTAAAGAAAAAAAAAAATGCAATATTCAGTTTGAATGGTACTCAACCTTACCGTAAATATTCAAAAGCCACTATAAAAAAAATCTAAATTTAGGGACTAAAAGGGATGTGTCACATAAATCAACATAATACATTTGTCATTGTTTTGTTGAATGCCTCTACACATTAATAGCATCTTATAGGGATCTTAGCAATACTTGAACTATAGAACTCAACATTGTATACAAACCCTAAAATGTTCACTTAATTACTGTATAGATGCACAAATCTATATTTTGTGTTGTAAAAATAGAAGAAAAATGATTTATAATCTGTACAAAATATAATCACTATCAGCCATATGTGGTTGTAATATTTTTAGTCATTAGGGTTGATTTACTAAAGAAATATAGATTGTTATTTTAGCAAAGTGCATGCTTACTATCCAAAGTGCTTGTATACTTAGTAAATACCATGAAGCTGTGTTTAAAGCAGGCCGTAGATAATGTGATTTTTTTTCCTGCAACCATGGGTTGCAGGAAAGAAAATTGCTTAATTCCCCCATTAACACAGTCAGTGCTGATGGGGGAATCCCTCCCATAGAGCAGTGTGTGTGGGGAGCCAAACAGAGAAAAAAGTGATTACTGCTAGCAGCTATAATAGCCCTTAGCAATAATCACATGCAAAATCCTTCAAGATGGTTGTACCCAATTTATACAACAATCAACTTGGGTACAATCAGCCAGCCTGCCCATAGATCGTTTGAACCTTGGCCGGTCCTTGCTGAACTGGACAGGATTTGGATCATCTATGGCCGGCTTAAATGGATCATTCAAATCATGTACAAGAAAAAAATCTGTGTTTTTTAATATTTTCTCTTCACATGGTTGGGTATTTAAAGTGGACAGAACATCACCTTGTTTATCAAGGCTGGCGAACATACACTTTCTAAAGTGAATATTCATATAATTAAGTGGACAGTCTCCATTCCTTTTGTAATTTTACCCTACTCACTTAAAACAAAAATGCAATAAGTGAAGTCAAAACACTTAATCTGCTTAGTTGTTTTTAGACAGTGACTTAAAAGGATCAAGATGGCAGTTAGGCAATCAGAATTTTCATAAGGAGTTCAGGAATAGCAGCTTTTATGATGGGTTTCCTTTAAACTGCATCAATTCTTTGTGTAGATAAGTATTTTGTACTACCGACATGCACACTGTCCTAAGAATAGGCAAACAAGTATGTATGTTAGGAGATACCTAGAAAACAAAAGTGTATCACAACTGATGCATATTGTCACATGATAAATGATCTCTTTGGTGCATTGTAGGGATCAGTTTTGAGCACTGTCCTTCAGCATCTGTTTATTAACTTGAATGATAGGACAGTCCATACTTTCAGGTGATACCAACCTATGATTCATAATAATCACAAATGAACTTAGTATCCCATTGCAGGAGCATTTATATCAGTTAGGAATTTGGTGAAAAATAAAAAAGGTTTAATTTACGTATTGTATACGCAAGTTGTACACCTAACCTGGGTTAACATCCATTTGACTTGCACATTGAAAGTCGGTTAAATAACTTAGGAATGTTAGACAGCTGAATAGTGTCACACAATATCGGTAAGCTATTGTAAAGGTCAACCAAATAAAAAAACAAAAGTAAGGTAATCACCAAAATAATGTACAATTTTGTCAGATCTGGTTTGCATTGATTGGTCCCTTCACACGAATATAATGGGACATAGAAAAGGCTGAAAATCAGGTGACCCTATGAGAAGAAAAACGGACAGCCTGATGTCAAATTGTAACCAAAATAAACTTGTTTAGAAAGTGTGCCTGGTGGTAATTAACTCCTACGCTATAAATATATATATGTATATCCAAGATCAATGCAGCAAGATCTTTAATAGCACCATTTAGACCTTCTCAAACACCCAAAATTTGCTTAAATCCTCATACGCAACTTGCAGTGGCAATGTCTATGTTTAATGACTATGTACTATGGTAATGCATATGTTACACGTGAAAATCATTCTTCTGTTCATGAAATGATATCTATAAATGTCTTTATATAATATGTTTATTGTTTTATTGCCAGGATGAGAAGAACCAAGTTCTCACAACATACTTATGGTATAGACAGGTACAGTCCAATGTATATATGTATATATGTAGTTATGAGGATCATTAATCTCAAAATTAGCCAGACTCCTAAACCAGAACCAATCAAAGGCTGCTAAATGTATCTGCTCCATTTTATGGTCTTGGGAGTCAACCATGCTGTGACCACCTCCACCATCACATCATCATAGCTGACAAATAAACATAGGGAGGAAACCTTTTCTAGTTCATGGAACTTGATTTTTTTTTCTTAAATTTGACTCACTTAGCTTCCACATGCTGAGGTGGAGGAGGGGTCTTACAAGGGTCCACAAAAAGTGTAAAACCATTAGAACCTTGAGGATCAAATAACACTGCAATTAAACCCCAAACCAAAAATGTGTTAAGTTGAAGTTTACTAATCGGTAAATATGGTGACTGCTTCAGTTTCCATTTCTTTATTTTTTTTCACCTTGGTGATATAGTTAGTAAAACACCTCCTGTAATAAAGTGCTCCACTCTGGATGAAGGAGCACAAGGGGCACCTTTGGACAGAAGCATTGTCTGCTTGGGGGGAGGAGAGTATTCGATGTACTAGTAGATTTAGATACACTAACAAATCAAAGCCAAATTCCAGCTCACACTTTACAGTCAGTTACAGAAAACATTTTTTTCCTTTTCTGACAAAAGTTTTGCATTAATAAATAAAAACTGATCAGTGTAAATGGTTTGTCCCATCCATGTAAACTGATCCATTCTGTTGGAGAACTTGTGTTTTTGAAAAACAATAGACTTGCTGGTTGGATTACCAGCCAAAAATAGGAGAAAGAAAACCTACCAAAGGAAGCTAATGCAGCCATCACATCTAGGAATTGGTAAGCTGCAATATAATAAATGTACACTTTTGAGTCTATTAACAATTTAAATTGCTGTATCAGTTCGGGTACAAACAGTGCTTAGCAGAGTTTTTCTTTTCTTTTTTTTAAGAACAGAATTTGATATGTACATACAAATGAACATTGATTACATGATGGAGTATATAGTATATGACTACTATGCATGGTATTATTCCTGAAAAGATAGGCTTGAGAAAGAGGCATTGCAGCCTCAAAACATGTAACCATAACCCCCCCCCCCCATTGCCCTTCAGTGTCTGATGTCATCAGCCAAGTTCCCATGCTGTCAGACTTGCTCCTGAACTGATCCTCTGGGTTTTGAGCTTGTGTAACTTTGAACACTGGTTTTGCTTCTCCCATCTGCTTCTGATGACCCTGGTCTCCATGGATGATGGCTTTTAAGCTTGATATGCTTTTTTATTCCTACTTCATGTGAGTGGCTAATTTGAATTTTTTATGAATAAATTATTTAACCATTTCCCGACTGCGCTACAGCCAAAAGATGGCTACAGCGTGGTCGGCTAGTCAGCTGATCACGTGTCCAAGTAAAGGGCCAATCAAAGCCATCTTTTACCATGTGACCAGCTGTTTCCAATCACAGTTGATCACAGTGTAAATAGAAAATACAGGTTATCGGCAGTCCTCTCCTCACGCTGACAGCTGACACCATGTGAGGAGATGAGAGCCGGTAAGCAGCATTTCTCAGGGGGGCATCTACATTGATCATCAGGGCACTGATGATCAGTGTAGCCCCATCAGTGTGGCCAACAGTTCCCATCAGTGCCCATCTGTGTTGCCTTTCAGTGCCCATCTGTGCTGGCTATTAGTGTCCATCTGTGCTAGCTATCAGTGCCCATCTATGCTGGCCATCATTGCCCATCAGTGCTGGCTATCAGTGTCTTCTCAGTGATGCCTGTCAATGCCGCCTATCAGTGCAGCCTCATCAGTACCTCCTCATCAGTGCCATTAGTACAGCCTCATCAACGCACATAAGTGAAGGAGAAAAATCACTTATTCACAAAACTTTATAACAGAAACTAAGAAAAATCTTTTTTTTTTTCAAAATTTTTGGTCTTTTTTGTTTGTTCGGCAAAAAATAAAAAACCCCAGTGGTGATTAAACACCGCCAAAGACAGCTCTTTTTGTCTCAAAAAAAGTATACAAATTTAGTTTGGGTACAGGGTTGCATGACGACGCAATTGTCATTCAAAGTGCAACAGAGCTGAAAGCTGAAAATTGGTCTGGCAGGAAGGGGATAAAAGTGCCTGGTAGGCAAGAGGTTAATCTGCTGCACTTAGAAGCGCCCTCTTCTGTCTCCTTTCTACTAAGATAGTTGGAATTGCCTCTTGACTATCCTGGACTCTTCAAAGCCGTCTCACAATGACAATGTTTATATTTTACCTATTTTTATTATCTAACAAAACATATGTAGACATTTGTAGATATGTAACAGACATACCGTGTTTCCCAAATTTCATTTATGAACTTGTTTACAAACTTTTTCTGCAGAAGGACAGTAATTTGATTTTTTTGTTTAGTTTTGGCTGGATGAGTTTCTCACTTGGGACCCCAAGGAGTATGAAAATGTGTCTCAAATATCCATTCCCACTGAGAAGATCTGGGTCCCAGACATTCTAATCAATGAGTTGTAAGTAACATCTTGCTTTAGAAAGCATTACATCTATGTTCCGATCAATACATTAACATTACAATATGAACTGGCTGAATTGTTCTCAGAATATTAGAGTTCATTGTAATTGTGAAAGCATTCTGCCACACTGCCTTTTTAGATAAAACACAGTAAAAAAAAATAAACAAATGTTTAATTTGTAAAACAATCCAATAACATTTTAAGTATGGTATTACAAATCATGTTTGAATTAAAATAATTTTGACTTATTATTCTTCTTAACAATATCCCTGAGGTTATGAACTCATGGACATCCTTATTCCATCACAAAATGATGAGAATAAAACAAAGACCGCTGTTAGCTTTACCGCTGTTTTATTTTAGTTTTTAATGATTCCTTAATTGGTCTTTTTACTTATTTCATTTACGTTCAGTGATCATTTTGTGAATGGCCGTTTTTAGTTTATTTTTCCATGGTTATGCCAACAACTGCACACAATTTGAAAAATTGTTATGATTTTAAACCAATAGTAATGAATGGAAAAAAAGCAAAAGTAATAACTATCTTTGTGCAGATTACCATACAAAGTTTCTTTGGTCTCCCTCCAGTGTGGATGTTGGAAAATCCCCAGATATCCCTTATGTCTATGTCAACCATGAAGGAAGAGTTCAGAATTACAAACCTATTCAAGTAGTGACTGCCTGTAGCCTCAATATCTACAATTTCCCTTTTGACCTTCAAAACTGCTCACTGACATTCACCAGCTGGCTTCACACGAGTACGTTTTATAGTCTTTATGTGTTTTTATGATCTCAATCACCAAATTGCACCATACTATTATGCATATCTACATCCAGTGACCATTTTTAATCATGGCTTTTTTATGGTTATTAATAATGCAGAATGTTGTTTAGATACTGTTTGGAAATTTTTTTTTATTTTCACGAATGTATCCATTTCACCCTTTAGAAAGACTGTCACCATAATAACTAATAGAGCAAAGCCACCCTGTAAAACTGTGGTTCTCAACCTGTGGGTCGCGAACCCTTTGGGGGTCGAACAACCCTTTCACAGGGGTCACCTAAGACCATCGGAAAACACATATTTCCAATGTGTAAGAGCAGCTACTGTGTAGAAAGCAGCTGCTGTGTTGAAAGCAGCTACTCTGTTAAAAGCAGCTACTGTGTAGAAAGCAGCAGTATTGGAGGTAAAATGACACTCATGAATTATAATTACTGGGTAAATAATTTTATGGTTGGAGGCAGGGGCGGACTGACCATTTGGAAACTCGGGCACTGCCCGAGGGCCCGGGGACAGTGGGGGGCCCCATGAGATGCCCCTGATACCTTTTTCATAGGATTTTTTGAGTTTGGGCAAGGACACAGGGGCCCCATGATCCCCTATTGCCCCCTGGTTGGGGGTCACCACAACATGAGGAAGGGTCGCAGCATTAGGAAGGTTGAGAACCACTGCTGTAAAAGAAGATGGTTACATTTACCTTTATGATGGGAAGTAAGTGTAATCTTCAGTCTTTTGAAGAGCTGTCAGCACCACTGCTGTCACCTCCTGGAGCTTTGGATAGTGCATCCCTGCCTTGCTTTTTCTAGTTAATTGTCTTGGGTTGTACAGCAATCTTCAAGGCGGTATAGGTATTCACATTAAAATAAGGTATCAAAGGGTATCTTTACTGGATTAAAGATGTAAAAAGGTGTATAGAAAGCTATACACATGCATTCACAAGCAATAATACATGGCTACTTAGTGTTAAATCAGGGAATTAAACCACTTCTGATGTTGTTTGTATGCTTCTAGTCTAGATGGGAATTTTATTTGGTCAGGGAACACACAGCATGTCTGTCTACTACTCTTTCCAGTCTTGCAGCTCTGTGTCCTTCTCAAACATATGGCTATGTGATCTAATTTCCTTCCTCCCCACATTTCCTGCCCACATTACTTCCTGTTCAACAAGCCCCTTCTGAACCAGTCAAACAAGTTAATTAACTTTTCAGATAGAGGAAGCCCAACTACTCACCAAACTCATTTAACCTATTAGCTTCCACATGGTAGCTAAAAATAATATTTGCAATAAAAAAAAATCATGGCTCTGGAAACACCTATTCCCATTGAGTTGTGTAGATCCTTCCACCAGTCTCTAAGTAATTACAGAACACAATAGTGATGTGGCAGCTGATGGCAGAAACCACAGCATATAGTGGGGGAAACACTATCAAACAGCAGTCTCAGACAGCAACAATGCTTTTAGCTCTTCAACAGAGCAAATATTCTGCTCACTGCCCACCAGAAATGTATAATGTCTATTATTCTGCTCACTACACACAAAAAGTATAATGTCTCTGATTTTACAGGTTGGCTTTGCTTTTTCTTTTTTATTAAGTCAACAGTGTCTCTTAATGCTGGGTATACAGAGCCAGAATTGGGGCAAAGGGGCAAAGTGGGCAATTAACAAAGACTATCACTCTCCGATGCAGACTGTGTGTTTTCCTATACCGCCTACTGCAGAGTGTCAGCAGATGCCAGGGATGCATTTAGTGAAAGTAATTTTTGACAAGACATTTTACTTACTTGCGGTTCTATGTTTTCTTATTTGTATTTCATACACTTTACTTCTCTTTAATTAGTGTGTGTTTGTTATAGTATATAAATATATATATAAGGTGCAGCTGCATCCAAAAGAACAAAACGAAACCAGCGCTCAAATCTTCATGCAGACTAAAGAAAATTCTGAATGCCAAAACGTCGAGGTGCAGCCCTTCAGAGATCGGGAAATCTAGGTAATGGTGAAAAAAAAACAAACAAGGGCGCACTCCCATCGTGCATTAACGTGGTGCACCACGTATTTATTAAAAAAATAGTAGAAATATACTCACAAACCAAAAAGGTTAAAAACAGAACAGGTACAGTTGTGACCAAAATTATTCAACCCCACTGAAATTGAGTGTTTTGGCCAGTTTGACATTGCTTTTGATCATTCAGTCATCTTGCTTACATTTACATTAAAGAGGCACTTGTAGGTCAGACAAATATAACATAACAGTTATAATGAAATAACCACAAATGTCTTTTCTGTGCTCACAGCATTATCAGTTTTATTCAACCCCCAAGTGACATTCAATCTTAGTACTTAGTACAGGCATCCTTTTACAGTTATAACAGCTTTTAAACGTGAAGCATAGCTTGACACAAGTGTCTTTGCAGCGATCTACGGGTATCTTCGCCCATTCTTCATGGGCAAAGGCCTCCAGTTCAGTCACATTCTTAGGCTTGCGCACTGCAACTGCTTTCTTTAAGTCCCACCAGAGGTTCTCAATCGGATTTAAGTCTGGTGACTGCGATGGCCACTCCAAAATGTTCCAGCCTTTCCTCTGCAACCATGCTCTAGTGGACTTGGAGGTATGCTTGGGATCATTGTCCTGTTGAAAGGTCCAACGTCTCCCAAGCCTCAGGTGTGTGACGGACTGCATCACGTTTCCATCCAATATCTCCTGGTACTGAAGAGAATTCATGGTACCTTGCACACGCTGAAGCTTCCCCTGTACCTGCAGAAGCAAAACAGCCCCAAAGCATGATTGACCCTCCACCATGCTTCACAGTAGGCAAGGTGTTCTTTTCATCATAGGCCTTGTTCTTCCTCCTCCAAACATAGCGTTGATCCATGGGCCCAAACAGTTCTAATTTTGTTTCATCAGTCCACAGAACACTATCCCACAACTTTTGTGGTTTGTCCACATGGCTTTTGGCATACTGCAGTCGACTCTTCTTATTCTTTGGAGACAGCAAGGGGGTACGCCTGGGAGTTCTGGCACGGAGGCCTTCATTACGCAGTGTGCGTCTTATTGTCTGGGCTGAAACTTCTGTACCCACATCTGACAAATCTTTTCTCAGTTCCTCAGCAGTCACACGGGGACTTCTCTCCACTCTACGCTTCAGGTAGCGCACAGCAGTCGAAGTCAGCATCTTCTTTCTGCCACGACCAGGTAGCGTTTCAACAGTGCCCTTTGCCTTGAATTTGCGAATGATGCTTCTAAGGTGTCTCTTGGTATGTTTAACATCTTTGCAATCTTCTTATAGCCATTGCCCTTCCTGTGAAGAGAAATCACCTCTTCTCTTGTCTTCCTGGACCATTCTCTTGCCTTCACCATGTTTGTAACCACACCAGTAAATGTCTAGAAGGAGCTGAGTATCACAGTCATTTTAAAGCTGCCTAATTGGTGCTTATTATGCTTGATTGCTGCTCGGTGACATCCACAGGTGTTTTCAATACCTGATGGAAAGCACCTGTATGAACCTCTGTTCTTCAGAGTGGTAGTCTTTAAGGGGTTGAATAATTGTGGCAATGAAGAAACCACATAAGAACCATTTACTACTGTATTACATAAACAATTGATGTCATTTTAGTTGCATTTGGGTATTACAACGTCCTTGTAGGATTTGATTCTGAATACAATTCCAAATGTACACTATAGTCCCTAAACCCCTTTACAGCATTGGGGGTTGAATAATTTTGGTCACAACTGTAATCCGTAAGGGCAGTCCAATGGATTCATACACCCATATGGGATAGGATAACGCGTTTCGGGAGACGAACCCCTTTCCTCTTTTTAGCTCTGAGGAAGGGGGTTCATCTCCCGAAACACGTTAGCCTATCCCATATAGGTGTTTGAATCCACTGGACTGCCCTTACGGATTACCTGTTCTGTTTTTAACCTTTTTGGTTTGTGAGTATATTTCTACTATTTTTCAATAAATACGTGGTGTAACACGTTAATTCGTGATGGGAGTGCTCCCCTGTTTGTTTTTGTTCACTATGTAAGGTGCAGTGCATAAAGACATATGAAGTAAATAATAAAGCAATTACGTGACAAAAAATATATATAAATTGAATGTACATGTATCTCAGTGCAGCCAATATAAACAAAAAAGTCCTTTCAGTATGAATCTGTGTATCAGTGGTGTGATAGTAACAATCACAGCAAATCGTGTTCAGTCCTACACAGTTCTCTGAAGTCCAATGTGAAATCTGCCACCACCACTGCACTGCACTCACCAGAGGGCTACTTGTTAGGTAGAAAATGTAACAAGGGATCTGTGTTATCCACTCTCCCACAACTCTAATGGTCCAGTTATATCCTGAGAGGAGATACTCACCACACAGAGCCCGGAAAATGGTATATAGTGTAATATTTTATTTTAAAATTATACATAAAAGTATTCCACGTGGAGAACAATAAAAACATTAAGTATGCCACATACCAAGATGGCTGCCATTCCGAAGCATGGACCCATCGGCGTGACATCAGCACATAGGGTGGAGCCCTGTTTATATTGGTTGCACTGAGATACACGTACATTCAATTTACATTTATTTTTTGTCGCGTAATTGCTTTATTATTATTCGCTTCATATGTCTTTATGCTCTGCACCTTATATATATTTGTTTACTGAGATTTTTTGTCACTCTCTCTGGTGCTAGCTGCTCCTACTTTTACAGCGCTCGCTGTTTGCTTTTTGATATTGTTAAAGTATATGATTTTTATCTCCTGCTGAGTTATTTGATCTTCCTGAGTGATGTCCTGAGTAATACCATGCTCAGAATTATACTCTATATGCAAAATGTGACTTTTTTGATT